TTGTGAATGAAGCTAGCTGGGCAAAAAGGCAATTAAGTACTTCAGTGCATAAATATTAAACATACAGCCTATAGTACAACTTCCACTGACACATGCATGTACAGTTTAAACATGAATCTATTGAAAGCACCTAAAAACTCCAAACATTTTGGAGAATAGCTCTTACTTGGTGCTCCTGAGAAATTGATTTAATGTGCGTGTGTTCCTGAGGGCACTGTTTTAACATGGAAAACTAGTTAAAGCCAGATCTATGGAAGACATAGCAGCGAGACTATGGCTGAGTGAATGAGAAAACAAATGTTCATGGGGAGGGGAGGGGAAGGGAGGGGAAGGGAGGAGAGGGGAGGGGAGGAGAGGGGAGGAAGGAAATCTTCTAGCAGATTCACCAGATCTTCTGGAAGACATCTCCAGAGAATTCTTTATGGCTTAGGACTTCATTTATTTCTAAGAGGGGCTGCTCAGGAGCTTTGTTCAGCAGGAGAGACTGACCCATTGCAAGCCCATTGCAAGCCAGGACAGTAGGGTTATGCACAGCTCCTTCATGACACAGAACTAATCCCCAAGGGACTGACAGTAAGAAAGCCAGGCTTTTGTGCTAGAATGGTTCCATAATGTGTCAAATCCAGTACAATGAGCTCATTCTAATGCTTCAGTTAGTCTGAACTAGAAGAAAATGCAGAAACATCAAGTGCTAAACTGCAATTGCCAAAAGTACTGCCAAGCAAAAGAAAATAGATTTTGGAGTCGTTTGGAATGAGTGTATGCAAAAAATTATTAGACCTGTACAGTATACCTATATTCTAATGCAAAATGAGAGATATGCAAGCAAGAGCTTGAGTGTATTTTGAAAAGGCAGTTTGTACAATATAGCTAAAGAAGACTTGGAAAAACATATTAGGAACCCGAAGAGCTAAAAAATACTTTTGAGTAAAGATAAGAGGATTGGAACCCAGAAGCTTATTTCCTGGACATTTAGGTTTCAGTTGATAACGGTCTACAGTAAAAAAACCAAAAAGTCACATAGACAAAAAGTACTCCTAAAGTAGACATAGATTATAAGATATTGTAAGGGGCAAAAAACGGAAACAGCAGTTGTAACTCAGAACAAAAGCAGTGATACCCATAAAAATGTGTGGTTTTTTTGAAGAGAGTTGGAGAAAAAGGAAGCCAAGAATAAAATCTCGTTCAGATAAAAATTACCTTCCCATGAGAACTAAATATACTTTTTTATCTGTACTTGGTTTAGGAAATATGTATTTATTATTTTGTAATTAATAATTTCTCAGATTTAGTGCCAATGTTGGCTAGCTGAATGCATGCTGCTTTGTACATTGTGTATATACAAACCCTTCTGGCCTTGATACAGCTCCAAAGAAGTTATGCCAGCTTAACAAAGAGGAAATCTGGTTCTCCTATTATTATTATTATTATTATTATTATTATTATTATTATTATTATTTGGGATGCTTTTTATTTGTTATCTTTAAAGTGAGAAAACAAAACAGAAGACATTCCTCTTATCGAGTATCAAACTGCCTTTAATTTAAGTGTTCATCTAATGCACTGTCTTCATTTAACAGACAGTTATTGTTAACATGAAAATGAGTGGGAAATATTATTTCCCTATCAAATGCAACAGTAGCTGAATCTAAGGATGGGAGGGGAGGTGGAGAGGGAACAGAAAAATATAGGAAAGGATGTGTAAAATCTCTCCACCCCAGTGAAATATCTGGCAAACTGAATACCTTTCAGATTTACAGGTCTGAACCCACTGTGATGAACTGGAGTCTTCCTGGAAGATGGATCAATTTTACCCTTTAGTGAAGTGGTTCAGGGCAAACATACCAGAAAATTTGCCCCACATAAGGAGCAGGGAGAGGAGGATGTCAGGACACTTGGCCCCAGCAGTTACCTCCTCCAAGCTAGCAAGCAGTGGATTTCTTAAATGTCTACTGCATTGCTCAGAGGCACCTTCTGCCCTTTTAGGAAGTTGGACCTCAATCTTCTCCATTTTATTCTATCCATCTTAAATCTGACACATTTGAGCAACTCTCTTACCCCACCTTCAGCCCAAGCAATTTAGGTTAGGATTTCAGTTCTAGGAGTGCAGTTGTTCCCTCACTCTCACCCATGTATCACACTATAACCTCCATTATAAATTTGTGGCATCTTTTGGACCTGCATATATCAAACAGACTCAATTAGAGTAACTTAAAGTGCACACTATACCATTTTATTAAAGATGTAACTTTAAACTCTGGGGATACTGTATAGCACCTTCCAGTACCTAAAGGGGCCAAGAAGAAAGCTGGAGAGAGACTTTTTGCAAGGGCATGTAGTGATAGGGTAAGAGGTAATGGCTTTGAACTGACAGAGGGCAGGTTTAGATTACATGTTAGGAAAAAAGTTGTTTACTGTGAGGGTGGTGAGACACCGGAACAGGCTACCCCCAGAAGTTGTGCATGCCCCAACCCTGGAAGTGTCCAAGGTCAGGCTGGACGAGGCTTTGAACAACCTGGTGAATTGAAAGGTGTCCCTGCCCATGGCAGTGGATTTGAACCAGGTTATCTTTAAGGTCCCTTCAAACCCAAACCATTCTATGAAACAGAATAATGATGGAAACTTGTTCATATATATAAGCCATAAACTTACTGCTAAATTAGCTTTGTTATTAAGCACCTTCTCTGTGGACAAGGTGGTCCTGGAATCATAGAAGGAATCATAGAATAGTTTGGGTTGAAAGGAATCTTAAGTGAATGTACTGTATTATATGTAGCTGCTGACCAAATTATGAAAAGATATCTTCAGAAAGAAGCGATTTGCATTACAAGTCTAAGGTAAGAAAGATCATATGGATTGTAGTGAGAATAAAATATGGGGTTCCAAAAGGAATTAATTTATACCATTGTAACAGAGATTGGACAGTAAATGTGTATTATTTGAGAACCACTATGTGACAATGTAGTTAAAGACTCTTGTGTGATAACATGCAAAATAACTAACCAAATTAGTTTCACGTATGGTCTTCATCCTCCCAAGTTTGATTTTTGTGTGCTCAGCACTCTTTGAATAATACTGTAATGCATGCTGCAGTCTTTTCCTGAAATGTGCAGTATATATCAGTAAAAGCTAATTTCCTAAAGGCAATTTTATACTTACCACGTACATTTAAGAGTTAGAAGACAGATTTTTCAGCTGTCCATATGACTTCTTCTGTTTAATTAATGAACTTAGAGGGACTATATTTAGTCACATAGCTAAACGTAACACTGCCCTATCACAGTCTCAGTGCCATTCCTATTAACATATTTCACCAACGTGTTTGAACTCTCTCACTGCTCTATTTTAAGAAGGGAGAAAGCATGCTTATAAAATATTCCAGAGGTTTAAAAAAAAAAATAAAAATGTGAAGAGGTCAGTTAGTTGCTCATCCCGTATGGTTAGAGGTGTGCGAGGACAGAGAGGGCAGAAGGGCAGAAGGGCCAAGGGTGGGCGGCAAATGCCTCCCCATTCCGCCAACAGTCCAAGCCCTATGACGCCCGTGTGACTCCCAGAGGCAGGGGGCTGGTGGCCTTCCGTGAGCGGGTAGCTACCGTACACTTGCATCCCTCGCCGGGCTCCGCGGGCGACGGCAGCCGCGGACCGCCTCGGGGGGTCTGTGCTCCTTGGCGGTGAGCGGCCGCCGGGTCCGCCCGGGAGAGCCGCTCCTGGCCTCGGCCGCTCGCCGTCCGAGTTGGGAACTGCCGGTGGGTCGGGTTCTGCTCCTGAAACACGCTGGGTGAGCTGTGAGGAGCGGCCGCGCTCCGTGTGCAGCCGCGGCTGCGGGGAAAGGGGCGGGGAACGGTGAAAGGCATCGTGAGTTCGCCTAGTGAATTTTACGCCTAAAACACGATTTCTCCAGGTGGCGGAATAAAACGGTGTCTCCTCACCTTCCCCCGAACGCCTCTGAGGCAGCGTGAGTCACGGCACAGTGCGAGAGCTGCATCTCGCAACCGCGTTTCACAAAGTTAGGGAGCGGCGGCGGCGCTTCCTACGGGACGGCCGGGACAGCGGCGGGGGCTCAGCGGGACTCGCCGGGCCGGGGGCCACGCGGTGTGGCCGGCGGCTCCCGCTCCGTCGGCCAGGAGTCACGGCTGGGCATCGCTGCCGGGGCTGCCCCCAGTCACCGCCCTGGGGTGGCGGTGGCGGCGGTTTCCCCATCCATTTCGAGGATGCCCGCTCTCAGCGAGAAGCCCAGGGTGTGGGGGCAGCTCTCCTGGCCGCCCCGTCCGCACCCACCCGCGTCCCGCCACTCCTCCCCGCGCCGGCGGGGCAGACGCAACCCAAACTGCTCCGAGGACACCGGAGATCGGCAGCAGAGCCGGAGGCAGCGCCGCGACCTCCTGCTCCAGCGGCCCCGGCCCCGGGGGGTGCCGGCCACACCCCACCCCGCCCCACTCCCTCACCGCCCCTCTCCTCGCCGCCGCCGCGCCCACCTCCCCCGGGCCGGGCGGTAGAGGCACTGCTTCCCCCCGCCGCCGCAGGGCCGTGCTCCGCACCCTCGGGACAGCGCCGAGCCCTCCCTCCCGGCCGCCGAGCGCCCCTTCCCCGCCCCTGCGCCAGTGCCGGTGCCGGTGCCGGGCGGGGGGCGGCGGCAGCGAGGGAAGAGGGATGAGGTCATCCTCTTTCCCGGCGTCAGTCAGCTGGGTGGTGGCGGCGGCGGGTGCGGGCGGAGGCGGGCGGGGAGGCGGGTGCGGGATGCGCTGCTCGGGCAGCGCAGCCCTGCCTGCTCCCGGCTCGAGCGGAGCGCGGCGGCGGCCCCGGCACCGCCGGCCCCCGCGGAGGCGGCGGCGGGGCGGGCGGGCTGAGCGCGGCTCCCCGCAGACAGGCGGCGCTGCGGACGCGGCCGCCGCGGAGGAGCCGCCCGCGGGCGCGGAGCCCGGCGCGGAGCGCGGATAGGGGACGCGGGGAGCGGCGGGTCCGCGGCGGCGGAGGGCGGGAGGCAGGAGTCAGGAGGCGGAGGAGGAGGAGCAGGAGGAGGCGCGGGATAAAGGAGCGCTCGCTGCTCCCTCTCGCTCTCCGGCGGGGCTGAGGGAGGCATCATGGCCGCGAAGTCGGACGGGCGGCGGAAGATGAAGAAGGGTGGCGAGGTGGCGTTCACGCCGCTGCAGAACTCCGAGCACTCGGGCTCCGTGCAGGCGCTGGCCCCGGGGCTGCCCGCCGGCTCCGGGCCGGGCGGCGGCAGCGACGACGACGACGCGCCCGGGGGCGGGTGCTGCAGCAGCGGCGGCGGCAGGGACGGCTCGGGCGGCGGCTCCCGGTGCTGCTGCTGCTGCGGCGGCGGCAGAGGAGGAGACGGCGGAGGGGGCGGCGGCGGGGGCTCCCGGGGCTCGGGCGGGGGCTCGTCCTCCTTGTGCCTGCGGCTGGGCAGGGAGCAGCGGCGCTACTCGCTGTGGGACTGCCTCTGGATCCTGGCCGCTCTGGCCGTGTACTTCGCGGACGTGGGCACCGACATCTGGCTGGCGGTCGACTACTACCTGCGGGGCCAGCGCTGGTGGTTCGGGCTCACCCTATTCTTCGTGCTGCTGGGCTCCCTCTCTGTGCAGGTCTTCAGCTTCCGCTGGTTCGCGCACGACTTCAGCACCGAGGACAGCGCCGCCGCCGCCGCCGGGCACTGCCCCGCCGCCGAGAGCAAGCTGCTGGTGAGCAGCGGCTCCGCGGCCGCGGACATCGACGCCGCTCGCCCCAGCACGCCGCAGCGACAGGCGTCCACCGCCAGCAAGGGCAACGCCACCAACAGCAGCAGCAACAGCAGCAGCAACGCCGCCGGCAGCGGCGCCGCCGGTCCCCGCGCCGGCGGCGGCCGCTCCGCGTCCTGCGCCTTCTGCATCTGGCTCCTGCAGTCGCTCGTCCACATCCTGCAGCTGGGGCAGGTCTGGAGGTGAGGAGCCGGGCGAGGGCGGTGCGAGGGCCGGGGCCTGAGCCCCTCGCCACGGGGGAGCGCTCCCGGCTGCGTGCGGGACCGCGCCCGGCGAGCGCCGCCTGCTCCACCTCCGGGTCCCTCTTCGGGACGCACCGGGCCGTCGGGGGGCTCGGGGCGGCCGGAGCCGCCCCGGGGCTGTGAGCGGCACCGGGCGTGGCGTCTCCTACCCCGCCGAGGGGAGCCCCGCCGGGTCCCTGAGCGCCCTGTGCCGCACGGGCGGCCGCCGCCCCGGGAGGCTCCCGGCTGCCTCCCGCCCGCACAGCGCCAGGTACCCTGAACCTCCTGGGAAACTTGCGCCGGGGGCTCGTAAAATAAAAGAACCGGTAGGGGAAAGGTGCCATACCCCCGTAATGCTCATCTCCTAGTGTCCTCACATGTGGCCAGGACACCGTTGCCGCCAGCTAGCTGGCAACTTCACTGACAGTGAAGAGTTACTTTCTGGTAACACCCGATGCTGTTTTTCGAGATGTACGCATATGCTGAGAGCAGACATCTCCTTGCTATGCATATCCATTTTCTATATATGTGATGTATTAAAAGAATGTCTTCTAAATCAAACTTTTGAGGAGCAGTTCTCAAAAGCATCCACAAAAGACGTACACTGCGTTGTGGAAAGGATGTGCTGAAGTAGGTTGTGGAAGGCACTTACTGCGAAAGGAGATGACATCATAGTTTTCAAAAGTAAACTTCTCCTTCGATTTGATCAAATTTCCAGGAAAGATTCATATGGAGACTGAATGCCCTGCAAATACATTTAGTGCTTCCTGAAAAGTGCAGGGTTCAGAAGGCATAGTGTATAAAGAGCTTAAAACTTTCACATAAAATTTTGGAAGACAGGTGCTGTGTCGAAGGTCATACAGTGGGGCAAATGCACTAAAGCAACAGCTGAAAATAAACTCTCATTGGAGAGTTCAATTTGTTGTTACTCCAAAGTTCTAAGGCTGAAGTTTTTAACATCTGTCTCATCCTTTTGAACAAAGACTGGCTTTTGCTCTGTATTATTGCAGTATCTGGTACCACTCAGTTCTGCTTGTGGCTGTTAAGCATCAGGGAGTCCAAGTGCTGCTAGATAATTGACCAAAGACCTTAGGATGCCATAACTGTCTTTCACTTTCATGAGTATTTCGTTTATTGTGACAAATACAATTTTCTAAACTTGTGAACCTAACTCAAAGTTACATGTGTGCTGAATATGAACTATGACACTACTTGAGAGGGAAGCAGAATTTTGAACAAAAAGTGATGCTTTGTTTTGGATCTTGATTGGTCCTATGCTCCTTTATGGGGTACCTCCACAACTGAACACAAGTTAACACAAGTTAAATTTAGGACTTTGTGATGAGATGGTTTTTATGTGATGTTTAGTCCCCAACCTGCAGAGACAGAAAAGTAGGTACGATGGCTTAAACTGTGTGTAGAAATTCATGTTGATACTGACCCATATAGAAGACAAAACTGTGGATCATGCTGAGCAACACAGAAGAGAGTTTTACAAGGTCTGGTGTCATGGGGAGAACACAAAGAGCAGGGAGGGCTGTGGGTGGAGCAGGGTGGGATCTGATACTGTGCAGCACTTCTGTAAGATGAGGTGTCTGGGATTTAGAGCTCTCTAGCTGCTTGCTTTTTGATGAAGCACAGCCTTTTTTAAAATCCAATTTTCTCCTTGGAAGAGCACCTATTCCTCTATATTTAAAGCTAGCTGAGTCTCTTTTGATCATATGTAGCTTTTATTTGTGTTTTATGTGCAACAATGTAAGAGTACCAGAATATTAGACTGATGAGGCAAGTTAGGACATTGTTTATGGTTTAGCCTGTTATGACTTTTTTTTCCCCAGTGAAACAGAGACATAGAGTTGTTCATCTGTCAGTAACTTTTTAGTATTTATTTGCAGTTTTCCACAAAAATACAAATTGTATGGTAGGTTGTATGCAGTGTTGCATATCAGCACTTCATAATTTATTGAAGTGACTTCATTTTAATTCCCCACATATATTCCTGATAAGGGAGAGCCTTTGAAGACATCTCCAACTAATAATCAGCACCAAAGAGGAGAGGTCATATCAAACCTGAGAAACTCTGTACATAAGCATGGCATCAGAGCTAACATGATCTGTGGAAATTTTCTGGAAAATAGAGTGTCTATTTGAACACTTAGTAGTCCAGAACTTTTTCTCTGCAGTGTAACACTGGCACTGTCTTGAGCAAATAGTTCAAGCTATTCAGGTGGAAGGAGGATCTGAAGTGTTTTCCAGTTGCCCGTGTTTGGAGACTAACTCCTTTGACGCAGCTGAACAGACCATGCTGGCTGTGTGAGCACCACAAGTGCACACAGCACTTGTGTGCTGGGGTCACCATCCCCCCAGTCGACAAAACCCATGTCACCCTTTGTTCTGTGCCTCTCACTGTGTTTTCTCTTAGCTTTCAGTTTTCCCCCTTCTCTTTTTCTTTTGGCCCTGGTTAAAACTCCCCTATGTCTGCATTTAAGTTTTTTGTTACTTATTGCATTGAATTTCCTACAGGGAAAAAATGACAATGAAATGCCTGTCATTTCTCTGTTGACAAGGAACCCTAGTATCAGAGTTCCTTAGTTTTGTGTAAGGGCAAGGATATCAGGGAATGAGGAGAAAGTTTGCTGGTTCCTGATTCTCAAGATACTGAAATTGGTGCTCATTCTGTTTTTATGTGGTGTTTGTTGTCTTTTATCTCCTATTAAAAATGTCCCATTTCCAAAGATTTTTAGGGGAACTGTGTCAACTGCTTATTTAAGGAGGCTATCCTGAGGAATGGAGGGTACAACTGCCAATACCAGCATTCTTAAGGTTCTTGCATTAAATTAAAAAAAAAACAAACAACCACAACCAAAAACAACCCAAACCTGTAAAAATGTGGTTTTCGTAATTAGTTCTGTCAGGATGACTTTTAACAATTTCAAAGCTTTTCCTTTGAGATTAATTTTTTGTTTACATATATACTGAAAGATCATTTAAAATGATTATGTGTTAATTTTAACTAGAATGTGCTAATGGGAAATGAATGAGATCTTTAATGTGGCATGGAACAATGCTGCAAGTAGGCAATCTAAAATTACTAAAACAGTTTTTATTCCTAGAGTGTAAAGAAGGGGAGCTCCAGGAGCAGCTAAGCTGCCAGTCAGTTCTAAAAAAAAATGCAATTTTTTTTTCTTTTGAAATCAGTATAGCTTTTTTCTTTTCCCCACAAAATTTAGAATATTACATTCCTCCTTTCTGAAGGATAAACATTTAATTTTCTTTTTTCTCTGGGGGCTGGATGTTCACAGACTTCCTGATAACACTGTCCTGTTAAAATACCAGTGAAGTCTCTGAGGACCTGCTTGCCACAGCAAAGTGCAGCTACTAGGCCTTTATTGGCACCTAATTTCATGTTAAAATATGATCATTGATGGGATTTTTTCTTCAGAAATAGATACAGACCCATTTCTTTACCAGCAGTTATGCTTTTTACCAATATATGGGCATGGAAGCCACACTATGGAGCCCTGTTCTCCCAGGCATGTGCTGTGAGAGAACTGGCTTACTGTCAGTAGACTCTGGGGAGTTCAAGGAAGATGTAGTGCATGGGGTCTTTGTATTCCATTGAAAGGAAAAAATGAAAGCATGTGCTTTAATTTATAGTCTATAAGGACTATGTAGAGGAATATGGGCCAGTACAATTCAGATAAACTATTACCCTTTGAGCTGGCATGAGAGTATGTAACAACTGCCCTTGAGCATCCCTTTGATTCACTAAGCTTCCCAGGCTTAGCCATGGCTTTCAGATTTTGCAGTGGATAGCAGGACTTGGTGACTGGATGCAAGAGATAATAGCATTCACTTGGTGTCTGTGAAGCTGGTTAATTTCCTTAAAAAAATTTTCTCTGGGTGACGTTTCTTTGGGCTGGCAGGATCAGATAGCCATACTCCTGAAGCTGGGTAAAGGGGTCCTGAGACCCAGCCCTGGGGAGGGGTGTGGGTTGTAGGAAATTTGGTGGACGAGAGGAGGAGACTGGAGGACTGCTGGTGCCCAGCTTGTGGTGTCTGGAAAGCAAGAAGTAGCTCCCTGAGACAATTATTGTGCCTTGAAGCTGGGTGGTGTGAACAGTCTGCCTTGGTGCTTGGAAGTTCCCACAGTATCTGTCATTTTGTCTGAAAGGCTGCAGTCGAAGTGCCTGAAAGGGAACTGTCAAGTTTCTGTAGCCAACAAGGCCAGAGGAAAGGTGAATCATTGGAAAGAGGAGGACTAGAAATTACCCTTTAAAATTATTTCTGGATAGCTGAAATAATACTGAGATGATTAAGTATATCCTTCTCAACAGAGTGGGGGTTTTGAGATTTCTTAGCTATGTGGGAATCCACTTGAAGAAGGAGGAGACACCAAGTTAATTGCTGGCCCTTCCAGGTGGTATTTTCCAGGGCAAGTGCCTGTTCCAAAGTGGGTCTAGTTGCCTGACAAGTGATGCTGTGGTTTAGCTATATCTGTTTATGTAAATTAATAAGAAACCATTATCTCGCTTCTCCTTCCTGATTCTTATTTGGAAAAAAAAATAGTTGGAGCAAGGTTGTAGAGGTGATGCTGGATTCTGAGACCAGGGTGAGTTGCAGTTTCTCTGCTGCCCTGGGGAAGCATTTTTCACAGGTCTGGGTCATCTGCCATACAAATTTCATTGCCTGTGCTCAAAAGCTTCACCTCTTCAATAACTTTATGCTTTTTAGAATTCGGAAAAAAAAAGGAAATGGTGCCTGCCCTGTATACTGCCCTGTATATGAGAAATCCTTACAGCTTCCTCAGGTGCTCATTATTAAACATGACTGGACCCCTAAGATGGAACTGGGAGCAAGGTAGTTCAATTAAGAAAAACATCATCAGTCTTAGCTCGACTCCAGACTTAAATAAGTTCATTTGGTTTTGCACTTTTGCTACATAGTAGTTTTGACACTTT